GCTGGAAACAAATCATGTAAATATCTCCAGTTTATAGTTCCTCTCTGAGTTTGGCATCCTTCCCATTGTGTTATCTGTGGACATCCTCCAGCCCTTATCTTGCCTGGTTTGTGTTGCTTTTTTCCTTCTTCATGTGACTGTGTGGGAGGGTTTTTGTCTTCCGTCAAAGATATTCAGAGCTTGGAAGCAAACTGAAGGAATAAAAGGGGCTTCACCTGTTTTCTGTGACTATGTTTGTTTTGTATCCCATCCTGGGTCATCACAGGCAAGTTCTAAAAAATTTCAATTACAGCTCGTCTTGACTTACAACAGTTCATTAAGTTACAACACCACTGAAAAAAGTGACTTATGACTGTTTTTCACATATAACAACCGCTGAAGCATCTCCATGATCATATGATGGCAACTGGCTTGTATTTATCTTGGTTGCAGCGTTCCGGGGTCATGTGATCAATTTTGCGAACTTTGACAAGCAAAGCCAATGGGGAAGCCAGATGCACTTAACAACCCTGTTACTAGCTTAACAACTGCACTTAATAACTGTGGCAAGAAAGGCTGTAAAATGGAGCAAAATTCACTTAAGAATTGCTTCACTTAGCAACAGAAATGTTGGGCTCAATTGTGGTTGTAAGTCGAGGAGTACTGTATTTATTTTTAAGCTGGATTAATGAAATTTCCATTTCATTCAGTTAAAGGGAGAGATAAGATGCAGAGTTAAATGAAAGACGTCATCTGCAAAATAGAATTTTCTATAGCTTAAAAAATATTTTGGAAAGTACAGTATATGGAATTATGAGATTGTATATAACACTTTATTTACCACTCCCAGCTCTTGAAGGATCCTGGATGCTGTTGGGCCAGCCACCCTCTTTTAGCCCAACCACCTCACACAGTTGTTGCAATGAATGAAAATAGGAAAGATTATCTATACTGCCTTAAGTCCTAATGAAAGTTGGGATTTAATTTGAATAAAAAATTATTTTATTTCACTGTAAGAAAGCGAGAATAAAGTTAAAACTTTTGCAAGATGCTAGAATAAGAGGAGGATTTGGTTTGCCTAATTGGGAGTTGTATTACCAAGCTACAAATTTGATGTCGGTTAAGGAATGGATAACATTAAGAAATACTAGATTGTTGACATTAGAAGGACATGATCTGTTGTTGGGGTGGCATGCTTTTCTATGGTATAAGGGAAGTAAAACACAGGGGTACTTTAGAAGACATTATATATGGGAGTCTCTGGTTAAACTGGGAGAAGATTAAAAGACAATGTTATTTGAAAATTCCAGTCTGGCTATCGACTATTGAAGCATTTTCTTATCCTATAATATACAAAAAGGAACAAACAGTTAGATATGGTGAAATATTGAATGAAAAGGGTGAACTTAAATCTATACAAAAACTAGAGGAACAAGGTATAAAGATGAATTGGTTTTCATATGCGCAAATACATTCAAGGTATGATAAAGATTTTAAAACAGAAGGTTTCTATGATAAACTGACTGATTTAGATAAGATTTTGACAGGTACTGATGAAAAGGTGATTAAAAAATTGTATGGATATCTATTAGAAATTAAACTAGAAGAAGAACAAGTTAAAGAAACTATGATTGCTTGGGGGAAGAATTTTGGATATGGGATTGATCTAGAGAAATGGCAAAAATTGTGGTCTCAAAATTATAAAATGATGTCAACAGCATATAAAGAAAATTTGTATAAGATGTTTTATAGGTGGCATTTTCCCCTGACAAGAATAGCAAGAATGTTCAAGAATAAATCCGAAAAATGTTGGAAATGTCATCAGACACCTGGCTCATATTACCACATGTGGTGGACTTGTGCAGATGCTAAAAAATACTGGACTAAAATCCACACGTGGTTGGAAAAAATGACAAAAAAGCATATAGACTTGAAACCAGAGATATTTTTATTGGGAATTTTACCTGAAATATATAGTAAAGATTTGAAATACCTGATTGTAAATGTATTAACAGCGGCTAGGATTGTATTTGCTAAAAACTGGAAAAATGAGAAAATACCATCACAGGAGGAAATTATTAAGAAAATATTGGAATGTGCTGAAATGAGCAGATTGACATTTGAAATTAGAGAACAGGATGATAAACAATTTTATAAAGTTTGGGATCTATTCTATCAATGGTTAGACAATAAAGTATAGTAACAAAATATGTAGACTTTTAGAAAATACTAAATATATAAAGATGTATTCTTTTCTTATTATATCTACAAAATGTTTTTAGGATAGATTTGGGTGATAATATGAATTGTCACAAAACAAATTAAGTAAAATATGATTATTTTCCAAAGCATGAATGAATAAAAGTATATTCAAATGATTGATTAATAATGATACCAATGTATTTAATATTGGATTGAAAATATAAGATCATATACAATGTAATTGTAATTGAAGACTATGAAATGGAAGCACAAAACAATTTGTAAACCAACTGGCACACTGTATGTACATATATGGAAGATGATTTGATGTTTTTATGTTTTGTTTGTTTATGTTTGCTTTAAAAACCAATAAAAATTTTATAAAAAAAAATATTTTATTTCAGGCTATTGGAAAAATAAAATATTTGCACTACTTATGCAGGCTTGGTCTTGCTTCTCTATCTATAAAATATGAGATACCAAAACCTGCCAGTTGGCTTGGACCCCCAATGAGGGAATATCACACTGGAGGTAGTTGATAGACTAATACCAGCTCCACCAACCCCCTTGTCCCTTTCTTCCGCTAGCTTTGGTTATAACTTGGAATTTACTGCGATTTTAATGTGATTTTAAACATCTGTGTGTATAGTTATGGTTTTATTTTAATGTTGTAAGCCACCCAGTCACCTTGTGGCAAGATGGGCAATGGGCAACAAACAAATTCAATGAAAAAACGAAGAAATATTACCAGTTACCTCATAGCCAGTGATTGCAATCTGATGCATGGAATCGTTAACTGCTTTAAGAATTCCCAGTATTGACGACAGGGCTACTTGGAGATCTTCAGCACCTTCACAATTTTTACTGTACTTTAACATTTCCTGTTGGAAAATTACATGTACTTCAGGCAATAGAAAAGCATCTGCAGTGTTATTATTAAGGAAATGCTTCATGGGGCTCTTTTAATCTACTGGGGAAGGAACAATCATCTTGAATAATTTCAAAGATGAAATAATTAACATTTAATTATTTTTTAAAATAAATAGGTATTAGATCAAGTGGATAGAATAAAAGATCATTAGCTTCAGGATCAAGTATTGATCAGTTCAAGGGCCATCTTTGTCCAATGCCTAACTTGCCCCCCCACTTCTAGAATAAACAAGCTAAACAAGCTATTTTTTCTTGAGTAGCATTTCTTTGCAGAACTCCACTTCCTTAAAAAGTGCTGGCAACTTAAGAAACTCTGCTCTGTGACCTTAATTAGTTGATCAGAACCCTTCAGGTTGCTGCCTGAAACTGACTAGATCTTAATCAGTTTTATAGAAAGGGTGTTTTTTGGCCTAAGTGCATAAGCATGTTAGCCAGTCAGTGGTACCATATTTCTCTCAGTGTGTATTTTCTACTGTCTGCCTATATACTCATTTGTAACCCCATTTTTCCCAATGAATGTAAATTCAAACATTAATTTACTTCTTGCTAATTATTTGATCACCAGAGTGAGCATTCCAAAGGATAGGAGAATGAGAAAAAGCACTACAAGATTGGCCTTGCAAACTTGGCTGCCTTGTGAATCAAATTTCAGAGATCATCCTTGCCGTTTGGGCTCACTCACTTGTGAGAGGCAAATTTCTTTGACACTGTAAGTATCTTCGGGGAATATTTCATAATAAATTTTACTACTGAAAGATTTGTTGCCATCCTGGTGTCTCCCTTGGTGCTCTTGTTCTTTGGTATCTAGCGTGCAAATCCCAAATTAAGTAATGATGCACAAACTAGCAGCAATGGTCATTTTTCTGTGTTTCTTCTGTCCCCTTAGTCCAGGTATTACTGAACAAACTCTACTTTCCATTTGTGAAATAAAAGCATTCAGAGTCCTGGATTAGACTTTCTTCCTGGAGAAAGAACCAGTTTTGACCCAGCAAAAGGATCTTACTTTCAGAAAGGATAAATTTATTGCCTGGAAGTCTCTCTTGGAACATCACCTTTTACTTATTCTAGGGAAGATATTATCCCTTGATGCTCCGATTATACTGAAAGTAAGCTATGCAAAGGAACAGGAAATGTAACAATGTTTGCCTTTCTCTGTCCCCTCCCTACCCACCTCCCCCAAATATCCCTTTTGTCTGGAAAGATGATTCCTGCAGAAGAACATGGAATTTACTATGTCATTATAGATTTGTTAAGGACAACTACAAAGCATATTGCAAATGTCAAATCACTGGACAAATTATTTTTATACATAGTTATTAAACAAAGATAGTCTCTGAAAAGTGTGCCACAAATGCAACTGCATTCATTTCCCTTGGTATCTAATAGATTCGCTATTTCCTGTCCTACCTGACTTTAATCAATCAATCAATCAATCAATGACATAGCTGAATTCCTACCTTTAGCAAGAGTTGATATTTGGTTATTCTTTGAACAGGCTTTAGTAAATAAGAATCCAAACTCAACTTGTGATCAAGTTTTCGTTGACACTCCTACAAAAAATAAAGGACAGACAATAACTTTTCCCCCACAGGGTAATAACTGATTATGCAATATGGTCCCAAGTACATAAAAAATACCTGGAAAAATGCTGAATCTGAACACTGTCTCCAAAGACTTTCTGATCGAGGTTTATTTTGACAATATTTTTCATAAATTTTGAAGTCTTTCATCTTAATTTAAAAAAGAGAACCATGAATCAAACAACAAAGTATCTGTTTAATTAAAAGAATATATATTTACATCTATAATGAATGAATAGACCAAACTCTTCTGATGAGATATTGGCAGAGTACTGACTCATCTCAAAAACAGTTTTTTTTTCTGTTCACATTTCTGCTATTCTTTTTTCCTTTATGGGAAACCTGAAAACCTGTAGTATGCAACATTTACATATATCAAGGAAAACAATGAGGGTTTAAGTGGGTAGTTTGTTATTTCAAAAGAACTAGCAGCAGCCTATAGACTCTTTTCTTAACATACACAAACCTCAGTGATTGATTAAATGTGGCAAACCAATTGACCCAGCAGACAACTTACAAAATTATTTCAAAGTCATGCTCTCTGTTTTGGGGGGAAATAAAATGAGTAATGGGGAATTAGTTGGATATACAAATCCAATATCCAAAACCCCAATGTACCTGTTACACTGATCATTTATTTAGTGCAGAGTTCCTCAGTGTACGCAGTTTTAAAGATTTGTGGACTTTAAATTCTAGAGTTCCCCAGCCAGCCATGCTGCCTGGGGAATTTTGGGATTTGAAGTCCATGCGTCTTGCCAGTTGCTAGTGTGGAGAAACTCTGATTTAGTGTAAAGATCAAGATCTGTATATAGACCGCTATATGAGAATGGTGGGACAGTACTTGACTTTACATCACATTTCTTTCTTTATATGCAAATGTAACCTTGCATTGACAAATGCATTTTTTCTTATTCCTGGAGTATTATGGCATTAGTATAGCTGATCTGTAATCAGACACTTCACATAATCAAAGCATTACATGAAATGGAAAACTGGTTGCTACATAGTCAAAGTATCTCTTCCTCTATCTGAGATTCATCAGGCTGTTTCTGATGGAAGCTGAGATCTTCTCATTCTTCTCTTTCCATTTCCTCCTTCTCCTCCTGCAACTGTTATATAACTCATCTTCTGAATAAAAATCCTAGGAGGGGTTTTTATAAATAATACCAGCAATAACAATTTCTGGGATTTTCCCCACAGAGTAATTATAGTAGCACTAAGGGAGAAGACTTATAGAATGTTGGTGAGTACAACAGAGGGATAACACCAAGAAGATTTCTTTAAGTCTTCTCGGTGATAATCCTCTGCTACTCTCAGCAACATTCAAAATCAGTCTTATTGGGAATGATGGAAATGTCAACCAGAACTCAACCAGTCCTAGGGGTATAAACGTTTGTATCTTGAAAGAATACTGAGAAAGAGCAATTTAGTGTGATTCCAAGTTACTTAAAATCTAATACTTACCCGTTCAAGGAAACCACGTCCTATCAGTTGAGGGCAGTCTATATAATCTTCTATTTCCCTCAAGAATATTCTACCAAAAATAGTAATTATATTTTACTGATGTGATGAAATAAAATAACACATCTACATGTGACCACACTTATTCTATTCTAAATTTACATGCACATTCTAATACATTTCATGAGCAGAAATCTATAATGGCCCCATATGCATAAGCAAAATTCACTATTTGCATTAAAAATAAAACAGTTTAGCCTTGCACCATATGTTACCAGATGAAATTGATGATGCTGGAAATAATTCATTTATATAACATTACTGATATGTATGGTGCACAACAGTGAGCAGTGCTATGTTCTCCAATGTGATGCTATTCAGATATCCTGAATTTACAGTTTCTAATAAATCTTACTTTCACAGCCAGGTCATTTAGATGATATCAGGTTTTGAGCCATACACATAGGTCTCTACCCTGACTTATATCTGATTATGTGTAAGATAACAATTGGAAAAGGAAAAAAAAATAAGAGGAAAGACAATGAGACTGAAATATATACACACACATGGGCATTTTATATAAAACATAGGTCTGAAGGTCTTTGAAAAATAACCCTACATAAAAAATAAAATCTTAGCCACATTTAAATATTTATGGATAGGTATTTAGAATATAAAAAACAACACTGAAACTTTGAAACTTTTGGTTCATAATGAGCAGATAAAAGATTGCCAGTAGTTTTTGTTAAATGAACCAATTAGCATGAGAAAAAATTATCCCAGGTAATTTACCAGCAGATGGCTTGTTATTTGATAACTAAGCATAATTCTAAAATTGTTGCATTTAAATTAAGTTCATACAATTTGTTTTATCTTAACACAGAATCCAGGCGATACACACAGACAACAACTCAAGTAGGTAGTAGTATAACTTAGGACTTCATGAAAGAAATAAAAGGACAAGGACAATAACTGTACTTACTTACTTCCAGTAAATCACAATTTCCAGCTTATTCATTAACAATGAATAACAGAATCAACAACCATTTTTTAATTCAAGCAGTTGTCTGTATCACATAAGCATGCATTCTATAGTTTGGCCACTAGGTGGACTTTGACTCATGTGGGCTCTAACATGGGGAGTAATGCTCAAGTTTTTAAAAAGCAGATGCCCAATTCTGAAACCAGAATGCATCCTTCCAAGATCTCTTCCTCTTCCTCTGTTTGCTTAGACTCCTCCTCCTCTATTCATAGAATAGAATACCAATATGCATAATTTTGTCTCCATAGCATCATATTCATTGAGAAAAATGCCAGGCTCATATTGCCAATTATAAAAGGACACTGATTTCATTCAAAGTGTTTGTCAATCTCAACAATTTTAAGATGCTAATGCTATTTTATAATGCCTTGGTAAGGCGACACTTGGAATACTGCATCCAGTTTTGGTCATCACAATGTAAAAAAAGATGTTGTGACCCTAGAAAGAGTGCAGAGAAGAGCAACAAAGCTGATTAGAGGTCTGGAGGCTAAAACATATAAAGAATGGTTGTTGGGATTGGGAAGGTCTGGTTTAATGATAAGAAGGACTAGGGGTGACATGATAGCGGTGTTCCAATATCTCAGGGGCTGCTACAAGAAGAGTCAAGCTATTCTCCAAAGCACCTGAGGGCAGGACAAGAAGCAAAGGGTGGAAACTATTCAAGGAGAGAAGCAACTTAGAACTAAGAAGAAATTTACTGATAGAACAATTAATGAGTGGAACAACTTGCCTCCACAATGTTCCAACACTGGAAGTTTTTAAGAAAAGACTGGACAACTATTTGTCTGAAATGGTATAGGGTTTCATGCCTGAGGAGGGGGTTGGACTAGAAGTCCTCCAAGAAGCTCAATAAAGAATCATGCATTTCATATTTATATTAGATGTATATATGCATGTGTGAAGTCCATGGGAATCTTAACAACATGGATTATGAGGAATCCCTATTGAAGAAAGAGAAATTATTATGTGAAAATTTTATGAAAAAAATAAGCAGGAGTCTTATGGAAAGAGCTTATACCATCACTGATTATTAGTTTTGTTGGTCAATCTATTAATATCAAAATTTATAATACAGCCTTTCTATGACACCCTGGTTTTCATCATATGTTGGACTACAGTTTCATCATCCTTGGCCATTATGGCACACTGGAGGGTATCAACTGAGAATATGGTGTTCTAATTGTGATCAACAATGGGACATTTCCTTTGTTATTATTTTAATGCCCTATTTATATTTCCAGAAAGCGTATGTATGAGATACAAATCCCAACCTGTTGTGAAAGTGATAGATTTCTTCCATGTTTCCAAACAACACATCTTTCTTATTTTGTAGCCCAGGTGAAATGAGATGTGCCATTAAGGGGTTGTCCATTTCTGCTGCATAGCCCTGTAATACAAAAGGAAAGCAGATTCATTGCTTCCAACTGAGTCCCCATCAAGTGTCTCCTATTTTCAACAATTGGAGCCTTCAACAATTTATCAGCCTCACTGCTGATAAAACATGTAGCAATATTTCAATATTAATCTGCTCAGGCTTCTAATGCAGAGTTTACACATCTTAACAATAATTCTATTTTATATAATATAGTTATAAACTATGAACATTTGCTTGGGAAAAATAGTTCACATGAACAAGAATTTTGTAAATAATCAACATGTGTTTTTGAACTGTTTATTACATGTAAGTCAGAACCATTTATAGCCCATATACAGCTGCTAATTTGAATGTTTTGACTCCAGAGTTGATCACAAGGTCTGCAGGTTCTTACAGAATGACCTTTCAAGGGAATTGTTCTTTCTTCTTCCTTCCTGACCCAAGTTCCTGTTTATGAGTTCTGCTCTAGGCAACAAGACTAAATCTATTATTTAGCATTTCCATACACCAGGAAAGAAGCAAAAACCTGCTCTTTAAACACTCATTAGACTAGAGAAGATTCTGCTTTTAGTTGATGTATCCAAAACAGCTGGTTTTGAAAGGGAAGTAATACAAAGTGACTGCATTTGGTCCCGGGGAAGATCTCTCAAGGGAGAATACATATTTAGAAAAGGAAGAGGCTGCAATGACATTCTAATTCCCTCTTCCATGTCCTTATAGTTAGGCCATTATATTATAGTCTTTATTTCATCCACCACTAGAAACAAGAAGAGTAAAAAAGGATTGTCTTAATCTTAATGGGAACCAACAGAATACAATGTTCTTGTCCTTGATTTTCAGTTACTCGTCTTAAGTAGAAATAATTTTATATTAAAATAGGGGGATCAGAATATATTTACAACAGACTAGAAGTGAATCAAGTTGGAAGAAAGGATGTTTTTCACCTTCTTGGTTCTCCTTTCTTGACTTCAGTGATAGTGGTGGAGAAAACACTGATAGAAGCCGAATCTGTTACTTTTTTGGTAACAGAACATCTGGCTTCTCACATTCACAGCATTCATACATTGCACTTAGCCACACTTTTCTTAGTTTATTTTTTCAGCAAATTTTAATTAGGAAAAAACTACACATTAAGGTGACCTGTGAACCCAATGGACCACCTCTTTTAAAGTGAACAATGCCCAGCAGTATTCGCTTTAAGAAAAAGGCTCCAATTTCCCAAAGTCAAATCATTCTAGAAGAGGGCTGATTTTCTTGGAAGAACATTTATGTTCTGTAAAGTAACAATTTTGTCCCATAAATATTTGACTCCATATGGAACTTCCATATCATTTTCTACACTACAGGATTAATTAAGGAATCATTTTAAATATAACATTGGCAAGGATTTTTTAAAAATGTACCTCAAGAACACAGAGAAGTTCTTCCACATAAGCTCGTTCAGTTTCAAGAAGTTCATTCATTACATGTCTATCAACAATAAGGAATAAATGAATTATTAAATAATTTCAGATTTCAAAGTCCCTAAATGGCTAGACATTTCATCACTGGAGATTAAGAATCATTTTTTAAACAAATACTAGCAACTGCAAAACAAATTGCATGGTGTTTCTTAGATCTGATCATGGAGAAATATTTTAGAAATATTTTACCAAAAATTGTATGCCTTAAGGCAACTAATATGGTAGAAAAAGTTTTTGCTGTATCCAAAAGGATGGACATAGAAATATTGCCAAAAAAAGAAAGGTTACTGTATGACTACTGCTTGATTAACATATTTGAATTGCTATTTAATGACTTCTATTATCTTTAAATACAATTGTTAGACATACTAGAAACATTTCTTACCTATAGTTGCTTGGATAAAAATATACTTACTTGCGTAACACTGCTAGATTTTCTTCATCATCTGTCACAGAAACATTTCTAGATTGCTGCATTTCATTTATCTCACTCTAATAAAAACAAGAACAGCAATTTGGCATCAAATCTTTAAAGCCAAACCTCCCCTTTCCAAAATGTGTTTGGCTAGAGACTGAAAAGTTTGGTTCACAAAAATGCAGCTCATATCTGATTTTTAAGTGCCATGACATGCATGCATATGCTAGTATGTATGGCTGACTATCATTTACCACTAAAAATTAAGGAATAAGTACTTATATTGCAACAAAAGTGCTCCCAAGTGCATTATGCAATTAATCAAGGGCATTAGGCAAACTATATAATACGAACTCATATTAGGCAAAATGCATCAGACATAATTATTGTTAAGTTCTTCCATGTTAAACAAATATTTATTTTTCAAATCCTGGTATGGGATGCTGGGACACAATTTGGCTGTCTCTGTTTTCCAAATCAAGGTTAGCTAACAAATCAAGGGAAAAATAATGCAGATTCTTTCTCTTACAGTAAATGCCTCTACTCCTTACTGTAACACTAGCAATAGTAAAGTGGTATCTAAGCTCTGATGGGTCAGGGATCTGATTCAATAGGCTGCTTCATATACTTAGGAAGAATTTAACATGTCGACCATCTCTATTTCATTCATACACTGTTACCTTCATTTTTCTGACATTCACTCTCCTTATTGCATGGTTATCAGAACTGGATGAATCTTCAGACTCTATTTGAAGGCCTGGTATGTGAAATAGAATCAAACGCTGTAACTAGAGGTCATGTCAAGCTAAACATACTTGCCAGATCAATTATTTTTGTTTTCAACTAAAACAGAATACCTTGACTAATTGGTTTCTTACCAGAATAAGGACACGATGATTTTAGATATCCTTCTGGTCTAGGTGCCACTGGTTGAACAGGGCGTGTCTGCTTAGCTGCCAGTTTCTTAAGGCTGACTTGCCTCTTTTGAATCATTTCTTCCATATTGTTCTGTTTCTGAAAAACCTTTTGTACATGTTCCTGTAAAAAGAGAAGGCAAAAATCTATGTGGACCATTGAATTCATAGGACATCATTTCAAAAGCTGAATTTTGAAAGCAATGCACAAAAAATGTGCTCAACATTAATTTGATTCACTACACAGAATACATTTGCAGCCATAGTGAATACCAAATGACTGACCATTCCTTATGTGAGTATAGTGCCTCTATTAAAACAAGGAATTTTGATATAGGATAGTGTATTTAAGAGTCTCCGTAACATACATGATTCCAAATCTCAAAAATATTATACTGTAGTAATTGGGTGCCTTTTCCCGTAAATAAACTGACCTAAAGAAATGTAGCAATGACAAATAAACTGCCACATTATTTATATTATTGTTAAATACCTGTGAGTTCTTTAACAAAACAGTTAATTTACTTGAAAAGTTACCCACTTAGGGCATTGATATTGTAATTTATGCAGGTTTAGGTTTAGAAAGCTGAACAGACATATTAAGTGGTTTCAACTCAAATATTTCAACTCACTGTTTATATATGCTTTTGTATAAATGTGACAAGATATTGTTCTGAAATCTTGATATTACCATTAATTCCTCAGTGAAGATAGCTTCAAATTCTTTGGACAAGTAACTTAGTTCCCTGAGTTTATTATCATCACCCAAGTCCAAAAATTGCTCAATTTCCTGCAGAGCTGCTTCTGCTCCATCCTGTGATTGGCATTTGTCTACAGGTTGAGAAGCCAGCAGATAAATTCCATCATCACACCACTTCATGCACTACAAGGGAGCCAAGAAAAACACATCATAAAAATGCTGCATTATACAAATGATTTATGTTATCAAAATTATCAGAATGATTTGAAGAAACCACGGTTCTTTTGATTGTACTCTTCAGGCTACTGCAGGGGTGGGCAACTATGGCCCTTTTATGAATTATGGACTTCAACTCCCAGAATTCCTGAGCAAGCCATGCTAGCTCAGGAATTTTGGGAGTTGAAGTCCACAAGTCATAAAGGGGCCATAGTTGCCCACCTCTGGGCTACTGTGTTGTGAGGATGAGTTGTAAGTGAGCTTGCCTGATCCAGAGACAGAATTGTGAAACTTGGAAATGGTGGAAGAGATGCAATATTTTATCTCCAAAAACAGATGAAGCAAGAAAATGTTCTGCAGTTACAGTCTCAAACACAATCTGAGCACATGCTACTGGCATTTTTAAATACCACGTTGTATCATGTATAACGTTTACCCTAATAGAAACTGTTCAGAAGATGAGACAAAAAAATGAGATCAAGGTTTTATCTCCTCACAAAAATACTCCAGAACTGTATTACTTAACCACATTCTATACAACTAGTAACCAACAACACTAGACTAAACAACTGCCTCGATCTCATCTTCTGCAATAGTTTGAATTTAATTTACGGAATACAAACTAAAGAACCCTTTTCCAGCAGTGACCACAATATGATTGACTTTTGTCTCAACATACGCCCACACAAAAATCACCACAATGATGTAATCCCCAATTGTAACTTCAAAAAAGGCAACTATGATCTTATAGACAACGATCTCTCATCCCTTGATTGGCAATCTCTATTCACTGGATGCAATACTGTTGAAGACCATTACAACATATTTTTACTTGAAGTCAAAAGAGTCATCAAACTATATGTACCAACAACAACTCCCAAAACAAAACAAAAAAGCAGATTACCCATAACAATAAGGAAACTTCAATCCAAAAAGAGATCACTCTGGCGGAAAAACAAATCTGGTCACGTTGCCAATTTCAAAAGCCGATACAAAAATTTATGCCACCAGATAAAGACCGAATGCACCAATTATCACATTAAACAAGAGGAAAACCTTCTAAGCACCAATTCCACCCGTGCTTTTTACAATTTTGTAAACAACAAACTAAAAGACTCAAGGTCCATCCCACCCTTGATAGGACCTGATGGTAAAGACTGCAACGACGACACCATTAAAGCCAACCTCTTTTAACACATTCTTCGGCTCAGTATTTGTAAACAGCAATGGATCATGCCCAGTATTTCCTAGCCGTACCACAGATAACAACAATGATCTAATACATATCGATTTTACAGAAGACAATGTTGAAAAAGCACTACGCAATCTAAAACCATCTCTATCTATTGGACCGGATGGAATATGTGCCTACTTCTTAAAAAAGCTATCCACTGCCATAGCCAAACCTCTAAGCATAATCTTTGAAAAATCTTTCAGGACCAGCTCCTTGCCTAACTTATGGTCACAAGCCACAGTCATCCCCATCTTCAAAAAGGGAGACCCAAGCCTAGTTGAAAATTACAGACCAATCTCCTTATGCTGCGTCACCTGTAAAGTCATGGAATCAATTATTAACCAATCCATCATCCTCCACTTAGAGACAAACAACCTACTCTCCAATAAACAATTTGGTTTCAGAAAAAAACTATCCTGTAATCTGCAACTCTTACACTGCAAAAACATATGGACGACACAACTCGACCAGGGCAAAGCAATAGACGCAATCTACATAGACTTCTGTAAAGCCTTCGATTCAGTGGTACACGACAAACTACTCCTAAAAATAAAATCCTATGGTATCTCTGGACAACTGAATAACTGGATAGAAGCATTCCTGGCAAACAGACAACAAATGGTCAAAATTGGAAGCGTCCTATCAAATTCTGTACCTGTCAATAGTGGTGTCCCCCAAGGCAGTGTTCTAGGACCAACTCTCTTCATACTCTACATAAATGACCTCTGTGATCATATTAAGAGCAATTGCGTTCTTTTCGCTGATGATGTAAAGCTGTTCAATACCACAGACAATACTGCTACCCTACAAAAAGATCTTGACTATGTATCAGAATGGTCAAACAAATGGCAACTTCAAATCTCAACAAATAAATGCTCTGTCTTACATATTGACAAAAAAAATCAGAAAATAAAATACAAGCTGAATAGTCAAGATCTTGTTGATGACCCAAGCTCTGTAAAGGACCTTGGAATACTCACCTCTAATGATCTAAGTGCTAGAGCCCACTGCAACTACATAGCCAAAAAGGCATTAAGAGTTGTTAACCTAATCCTACGTAGCTTTTTCTCTGGTAATATCACACTACTAACCAGAGCATACAAAACATTTGCTAGACCAATACTCGAATACAGTTCATCAGTCTGGAACCCACATTACATATCTGATATTACCACAATTGAGAAAGTCCAGAAATATTTCACAAGAAGAGTTCTCCACTCTTCTACTCGTTGTAGAATACCTTATGCCACCAGACTTGAAATTCTAGAACTAGAAAACCTTGAATTACGCCGTCTTCGGTCTGATTTAAGCATGGTATATAAAATCATACATTGCAATGTCCTACCTGTCAATGAATACTTCAGCTTCAACCATAACAACACAAGAGCACACAATAGATACAAACTCAATGTTAACCGCACCAAACTTGATTGCAGGAAATATGACTTCAGCAATAGAGTGGTCAATGTCTGGAATACTCTACCCGACTCTGTAGTTTCTTCCCCAAACCCCAAAAACTTTAACCTTAGACTGTCTACTATTGACCTCACCCCTTTCCTAAGAGGTCTGTAGGGGGCGTGCATAAGCGCACCAACGTGCCTACCGTTCCTGTCCTATTGTTTCTCTTATTCTTCTTTTATTTTTCTTATATGTACCCATTTCATGTATTCACAACTATGTATACACTTATACTTATTATCTTGTAAACAATTTGCAAATCAAATAAATAAATAAATAAATAAAACATTCAAAAAACATATTTTTCTGATTGTCACAATCTAAATTTAGGCTCCATTAAGATTATACATTGAGCACTATCTGTAGATTTAAAGCTTAGCAAATAAGAGAGGAAATTGAGATAAAATACATTAACTAAGTTTAATGCTGACTGGAACCCCTTATAGAATTTTTGTGTGAAACAAAAAAATGAACTTATGACCACAGGGTTGTTGTTATGAGGAAAATAGGAGGAGGATATGTTGGGTATATTTGCCATCTCGAGTTATTTGTAAAAATAATAAAAGTGGGATGGATGGGTGTATATATATAGCTAGATTTGAAGATTAGAAAAAAATATTATAGAAAAAATAAAAGCTCTCTGAGCTTGTTTATTTACTTGCAAATGTTTCATTACCCGAACTAGGTAGCATTGATTATGTTACCTAGTTTGGGTTATGAAATGTCTGCAAGAAAACAAGTAAGTTCAGAGAGCATCAAGGATTCCTCTTGTCAACACTGAGCTACAAATATTCTCCTTTATTAAAAATAAAAGCCATGCTATCTTCATAAAGGAAGATGTTAATTTATATTTATAACTGCTGTAAAAGACAATTGGAAGTTACTTTTTTATATTTTCTTTCTTTTCCCAACGCTTTTGACTTTATCTTTCCTTTCTTTCACTTTCTACTTTATTCTAAATATGACATCTTTTTAGTTTTTATCTTGTTTAAAATCTTAATAAAGTTGTATTTTAAAAAAAGCAAGTAAGAAGGGAAGTGGAGAAGATTAAGTTTACCTTTTCCAACTGTCTATGTAATTCAAATGAATGGTTTAGGAGATCCCTTTTTTTATTCACTTCTAAAATAACCATTTCATAGTGTTGTTGGAGTTCACCGCACTTGGGAAGAATAGAGTCCACGGCATAATGTTTGTTTTCTATAAACTGGTCTCCATTGGAAATTAGTAGGCTGGCTTTTTCCAAAACTTCCTAAAGAAAATAATATAGCAGAAAATACAAGTTGTAACATTATCTCTTTATAAATAGGTCCCACTGAAAAATGTGTCAAAATAAAGAAACCTTATATCTTTACTTGTGATTTTTCTTCAAAACTGGCAAGATCTTTCAGAAGGTGCTCTACGTGTGAACTGCTATTTCCCATTTCTGTGAAATGAAGTAATTTCTCAGACACACTATCAAGTGCTATTTTGACCTAAATGAAATAGAATATATAATTTTTTGTAAGTCTACAACAGTGTAGCAAAGTTACAAATTAGACTTTGGATCATAAAAATCAGCTGGGGTCATGATCATAGAAAAATATATAAGCAGTATTTTTGAGAAACTTTGTATTATGGTTCTTTAGTGATATAGAATAACAGAATGACACTGTTAGAAAAGACTTGAAGGTCTTGTAGCTCAATCCCCTACTCAATCAGGAGAATCTGTGCCATTTCAGACAAATGGTTGTCCAATCTCTTCTTACAAACTCCCAGTGTTGGAGCATTCACAACTTCTGGAGGCAAGTTGTTCCACTGATTAATTGTTGTCAGGAAATTTCTTCTTAGTTCTAGGTTGGTTCACTCCTTTCCATCCACTGCTTCCTGTTCTCCCGTCAAGTGCTTTGGAGAATAGCTTAAAGTATAACTGTTATCTTTGCTTTTAATTTCATTTTTATCACGTCAATATTTAAATTATTGTTTTATGTATATTGTATGTAAATTATTACCATACAATGGTAATAATACAATGGATGATCAAAAGTATCTTTGATGAAATGTATTGTCTAGTGCAGAATAAATGACATTTTAAGGAAATTGATGCTTTTAAGTGAAAATTCAAAATTTTAAGTAAAAATATTGCTGATCCAGAATTGTTTTAATTAGACCAACATATCATATACCTCTTTGAAATCCAGTTCAAAATGTCTAAGTTGTAAGCATTGCTCAAGCTTCTGTTGGTGTTTACACCAAAAGTCATCAAAAGCTGCTTCTGTTTCATCTAGTTGAGATAAAAGCCTTAAAAGAAAAAGACAAATAAAGAAGTTTTGTATCAAGCGTTCCCCAATTAAAGGTGGGGTAAGGGGAATGACAAATCCCAAGAAAGGGAAGGACACAAAACTGTTATCAAAAAAACTCACAGCATTGAAAAATGTATTAATTATCAAATGAAAATCTAATGTAATGGAAAGATTAGTGAGAAAGATAGAGTGATGGGAGGAAGGTGGGTGTGTGGCAGGAAGACTGATAGCAGATTGCTAGAAAGCTGAGGGTTAGAGAGGCTTGAAATATACTTTTAGGAACATACAAAATAATGGATGTATTCAATTTGTGTGGGAAGGCATGAGGTTTCTAAAACTTACAGGATTCCTCTTGAACATTAGGTCAAATGCTAACTTGTTATCATTATCTTTACTTTGTTTTGCCAGATGGCTTATTTTTTTTCAAGGAACAATATAACTACAGCCCTGTATTTTGGCTGATACTCTCTCAGCAAAATAAATTTCATTCTTTTTCTGACAGAGATAACATAACTTGTTGGTGACACTTGTTTTCCATATTGGACCTTCACAAAAGTATTAAAATCTTACTATCAGAAATATTTTAGAAACAGAAAGTAGGAATATAGTGAAAATATATATTAAAATACTAGATGCACCTCACCTTTCCACAGTAATTTGATTTTCTGTTTGATCTGGATTCAGTTTGCACTCTGGGTTTTCAAGGACCGGTTTTCGAATAGCGTGGAGAATATCATCACCTTGCCTTAAAGCTATTTTCAAACCTTCCTATAGAAAAATTGAAGGGTGTATAGTTAGGCTGTTCCATGAGAATTCAACTTGGAAATGCCCTCCCAGGGTCTTGAAAATACCCAGAATGAGCTAAGGATGGGTAACCTGTGCTATGTGGCAAATTCACGCGTATGCTATCTTTTTTTTTCCCCCCATAGTTGAGCAACAGTTTGATTTTACATGGATAGAAAGCCAGCTCTTGTGTATTATGCTGCTCAGAATACATGTGAAATCTAGATGAGATAAAAAGATTTAAAAATAAATAAAACAAATATAACCAAAAAATTACAAAACCTAATTGTGTGTGCATGTGTGCACAAACCCAAAAATCTTATTTGAACATTATAAGGCCAAAATTAGAGTTAAATAATCCATTATAGACAAAAATCATGTCACAGGAATTGCTTTGCCATATTTATAATCTGCACTTCAGGATTTTATTTACTGTTTTAGCTAAATAAATATTTTCAAACTTTAGATCCATGGAAAATGTAAGCGATCATAAAATTTACTGGCACTGATTCAAAGGGAGGATATTACACAACATTCAAAGAAAAAATTTGCAAAGGAAAATAAAACTAAGCCCCAGTTAGTGGGGTAATTCAATAAAATCATGTTTTATCTAACAACAGCTCTAACCTACCTTCATTTTGTCTCTCCTTTCTGTATGTGTTGCAAGGAGGTAGCTGGTGGCCTGAGCATCATTTGGTAGCTCTTCTTCTGCAAGCTCATTCCCAAAGGTTTGAAGTGTTTGAGCTATCTGCTTAACCATTCGAGCAAAGCTCTCTATAGCCTTATGAATTACAAATACATGACACACATTGGATACGGAAGACATGTTTGTTTTAAATATAAATGTATGTCTACAGGTATAAATAAAATTATCTCTTGGCGGTCTCTGAATTTGGTTGTTTGTTTGCAGACATTGCATTACCCAACTAGGTAGCATCAATCATGCAAGTGAGAATGGATTTACTCTTTATTTATATACGGTAGCTTGCACTGCCAGTTTTGGTGAGACTGTCATTTTCTCCTTGGTAGTTCCTAGACTCCATAGTTCTATCTCAAGCTATATATATTCTATTAATAATTATCTCCACCATTAACTCCTTAACAACTTATCTTTAAACTTTTAAAGTATACTTATGATATGAAACATTATTTTTAAAATGTTTTAGCTACATCTTTGCACATTCACGCAAAGGAAGTAAGCCACAATACCCCCCCCCCAAAAAAAAGATACAAGGAATGGAAATATAGCTAAATGTACTAAACCAACCCCTCTGTATCTGTTTATCTTTAAAAATTAGATGTGCATCTACATGACCATATACCACTTCATACACCCCTCATCTCATACTTCTTCAGGGTTTCTGTCCAACCACAACATTCTCATCTATTCCTTCTTCTTCCATGTAATTTGTTCAGCAACTGAATCATTCCACCTCTGATTAAACCACCTCCATGTACTTCTTTTACATAGGACAGTGCTTCTCAACCTTTTCTTCACCATGGACTCCCTTTAAATACCTTTTGTATTCTGGCTATAGACCCCCAAAACTTAACTCAGGATTTGAATCAAAACATTTCTTCAAGCCTTCATGGATCCCCTATGATGACATTACTACCCCCCCCCACTCCCCGTGTTCCAAGGGCCAAAGATTTGGAACCACTGATATAGATCACTTTTGATTTTTGTACAGAGTTCACATTCATTCAACCCCCTATCTTTTCTCATTACACCATACACAATTAAGAAGCCTATCTGCACTTCCTTCAACTTATGTTTCTTCTGATATACTTAAATATAAATTCTATTGGCCATTTTCATGTCATTTGATAAACATTTACTTCAATATTTCCAGCATATTTCTTTCACTTGCCACTTTGATAATATTTTGTCTAGCAGTCCTCGCTTCAGTTTCATCTCAAGCCATTTCATTATATATATTTATAATTCCATTCATTATGCTGGAAGCATCTTGCTTAGCTCTTCAAAAGATGTTTTTTTTAAAAAATTCCAGCAAAATCTCTTGGAATTTCTCTGCCTCTTTAAATCTTACTGGTTTTCTTCTTTTTAACTACATTCCTTGCAGCTATCTTTTTATCTATGTATTTCTACCAAACATCCTTTCAAACACTTCTCCACGTACTCTGCAATTTAATTATTTTTATTTCTTTGCAATCAAGCTACATTTCCTCTTTCCTTAGGTCTCCTTTGCCTTCATTCTATTGGAAAAGCAACCTTTCTCCTAACACCTTTTCATACAGGGCTTACTCTTTCTTTCTCTTTCCACAGTTGTTGTATGTTCACTGTAGCTTTTTTCACTTTTTTCTTTTTCCACTATGATCATCCCGCCCCCCCGAGTTCTATTCCATTCTATATGGGACTACAGAATTCAGATAGTCATCAAATTATGACCAGTCACTTAGTGACTCTTCAAAGTTACAATGGACCATCCAAAAAGAACTTATGACCTGAATCTATGACGATTGCTCCTGTGGTCATGTGATCACATTTTGGGTATTTGCAACCAGCCTCTATTAAAGGCCATTTGCAGTGTTCTTGGTCACATGAATGCAATTTATAATAGGTTTGTTTTTTTTTTACTGCTGGAAATCAGTACTTCAGATTCCTAGCAAAAAATGTCATTGCAGACAATAGGTTTGGCTTAATCACTATGGTGTTTGCTTTATGACTGCTGCAAAAAAGTCATAAAATTGTTTCAGTCACATGGGTACATCTACTTAAGACCGACATGACATACCTTACAGTTGTAAATTGAGGATTACCTTAAAATATTGGTTTCTCTCACATTCAGAATCTTTAAAATCCTTGTACCTTTCATTAATTCTCTCAGTCTTTCATAATACAAAAAACAAATCAGCCATGCTTTTAGATATATTTTATATATACTAGAGAGATTTATGAGGGTAGTTCTGAAAAAATAATCATGTATTTTCTCAAAAGTAATTTTAAAAACTCATTTTAATACAAATCATTATTCCTAATGTTTTTGAGATACAATCACTGATATTTCAGTTCGTATCTACTGTATTAACAGAGTATAAAAGAGAAAGAAGAGAAAAAAACTCACAGTGCGCTGTGTAAGCCACCTATTATGGCAGTAATCCAGGGAACCCCCAAGATCTTCAGTTAGTTGGGCTGTATCAATATAGTTATTTAGTTCTGTTAGTGAGCTCAGCATTATGATCTATAAGACAGAAATCACAGCACCAGGTGAATAAAATTAACATGATTTTTGAATTTTTGCTTTGGTAATTTTAGCAAATTTGTAGTCATGAAACTAAATAATAATATTCAATGAAACATGATTTATCAGATAAAGGAAAGTTTTACTCTCAGAACAGCATATAAAATATCTCCTTCAATCAAAGTGGTAATTTTAATAACTAGGAAAAGTTTGACATTTATAGGCCATATAAATAGCAGAAGTTTTTATTCTTATCTAATAGGGCTGGCAATGCTTTAGATTTGATTGAAAAGGGTTATTTGCAGGGGTGGGATTCTACCAGTTCACACCTATTCGCTAGAACCAGTTGTTAACATTCTAAGCAGTTCGGAGAACCGGTTGTTAGAAGAAATTACTGGCCTAAACCTGTAAGGAAGGCAGGAAGGAAACATTCTGGTGTTGCTTACAGAAACTGACTCTCCGTTAACCCTTATTACATTCTTGGCAGGACTAGACTTCCTGTCTCAGGAACATCTCTGGAGTTTTTTTCCCCTCCTTTACTGGTACTTTGCTTGTGTGGAGTGACCATTCAAAGTTACAATGGCACTGAAAAAAGTGACTTATGACCATTTTTCACACTTACGACTGTTGCAGCATCTCCACAGTCATGAGAGGCCAGGAGAGGAGATGCGTGCCTCGATGTGAGTGATATTGAGTTGGCCACACCCAGACAATAACATGACCACCAAGCCATGTCCACCCAGTCACATGACCACCAAGCCAGGCCCACCACCTAAGCCACACCCACAAAACCGGCTGTTAAAAATTTGAATCCCACCCCTGGTTATTTGGAGCATTAACAAGAGTAAAATTTTGTTTGGAAGTCTTTAAAGCAGCCACTTCGTTTCCTAGGCTCATGCGGCAAATTCAGAGGACAGGGATATAATCCTGGAAAAAGACAGGGCTGTTTTAAAGAACAGTAGGCAGATGCTCTTTTTGTGCTCCTAAACAATCAGATGAGCCTTTCTGAATGATCTATGAATCCTTATAATCCAATGTAATAGCATTTAAACTACTTTGAAGAACAGTTCTGAAAATCTCAGAAGTTTGTGCACAGATGTATATTATTTTGACTAATCCTAGAAAGTTCCTGTCTATAAGCATATAAGGCTTGTGTATAAGTTTGATTGACATTTCCCCACATTAATTGCTTTTTACCAAATAATTATATCAAATAAATATTAGCTGCACATGGTTTGACAATGTTTTGGAAGAAGTTTTTTTGACCTCATGTAAACACAGTATATCTCTATTATTCAAAGAGCAACTCATGGCAGCGTGAATATAGATAAACCTGTAGCTGCTTTAAAGAGTCCTTTAATTGATATTGAAATTAATATCAAACATTTTAGCCCTTTCAAAGCTTTCTAAAGACTGAGAAAGTTAATAATGAAAAGATTAAAAATTATTTTAAAATGATATAATTTGAAATATACAAAAAGCATGGGCAAATCAGGGGTTTTCTTTAAAGCCATCATTTTGTCTACAAAAAAATCTAATTTTTTTTTGTCCATTTATTAGTGATGAAAAAAATGCCCATGCAGAAAGTGTAAGAAAAGTTATATTAAAGACATACTTTTTACTATTTCATTGTACTCATCACACTACAAATTATAAATGAAAATAAAAGATTAAACACTAACCGGCAGCTTTATTTTATAGTCATCTCCATGAAATCTAAAGGCAATGTCAAAGAGAGTTCTATGAAAGAATCCAGTTGGACGCAAAACTAGAACGAGTTGCAAATTTCCTGGAAATGATGTCTAAAATGGTGAAAGAGAATCATCATATTTAACATATTATTAAACAGAATCAACAAATCAGTTTACAAATTACATTTCACTTATTTTGTCTTAACTACAGATTAAACTGGATTATATTTTGAACTTCAAAAGATATAGGCAAACTAGGTTTTAATTTCTATGCAGTAATGGAAATGAAAGTAGTTATAAGTCTATCAACACAGATATTATACCAAGTTATCATTTATAGATCTATAGTCTGAGGTAGGTTCTATAGCTGGTCATTTTTAATTAAGCTATTGCACCAAATCTTAATCTTTTCTAAAAGTATGATTTGATGTGCTGCCTAAATTGAGCTAGTATATTATTTAATTGATGATATATTTATACTGAACAAAAGAAACTTTGACTCTCTGAAATAACTTATAAAGAATAAGGTGATAGTGTACTTGAAAAATGCACAATTGTCTTTTTTTCTAGGCGTCATCTTTTACTTAAGAACGGGCATTTTATAGATAATAACACGTTGCTTCCCACGAGCTAAGCTATATATATAGTTCCATCCATCTCTGCCTTCAAAAGATTCTTAGCCTGAGAAACAATCACACATACTTTTTTCCTCAATGGAATTTTTAGTATAAGCAAAAAACATTTTAGGCACATTTAGATTTAAATAAACAAAAAAGCTTTATCTTCTTAATAAAACAGGTTAATCTTACAGAATCATCCCTACAGTTGGATCTTTTGGTTGTAATCAGAAAACAGAAATGCTTCATTATATTTTAGATAAGATATGCGGCGTTTGAGATATGTGTTCCTATGTTGGTTTTCTATGAGGAACTAAAAACAATAACAAAACCTGAATGGAAAAAATACAGTAGAAGAAAGTGATTTCGTGATTCATTCTAGACTAAAAAAACTCCATTAAATTGCAATTTTATTTAGGTTTTAATGAAACTTTATTTCATGCTTGCTGAACAAATCCAGATGTTCTGAGAAACAATGTATTGTCAATAGATTTCATGCAGAAGTTATTACATTTTAAACGGAGAGCTTCAGACTTTATTTTCTATTTCTATAAAGAATTTGGAGCTGCGAAAGAATTTCTAGAATATCAGTAAAAAATACATGTTATACTTCACTGACATGCCCTGGAACATGTCACATTGTCTACAAGCTAATAATGAACCGAAGGGTTCTGAAATGAATAAACTTTGCCATCTGGAAAGATATTGGTTCTGTTTTCTTCACAGCTAACTCATTCAGAGATGATCAAGCTATGTTTCCTCAAGTTGTTACCTCACCATAGCTAATCTTCCTCCTAAAGCTTTAGAAGCCAATGAACAATAGTTTATCTTTACTTAACATTGACAGATAATTCAAAACCAATTTTTAAAAATAGTTCCCAACCCACATGAGTCTTTAAAAAACCCAAAAGGCAAACAAATCATCAAGTTCACAAATGCCAATTTAAAACTGGGTGTGGAATCTGGAACACACCTGCTCTACAGAATCATCTGTAACGAAAAAGAAATAAAAAGTAAAAAGTGGAGGCCATTCTCCTGCTACCCTGCTAGGAAATACATTCCTGAAATAGGAGTATGACTAAACATCTTTCAGATACAGCACTAGTGTAGAGGACATAAAGGACATAAACACAGGCAGTGTCAGATCACAATGAAATATAAATATTTAGTCACAGGAACTATTCAGAAGCAAGTCTACCTGATTAGGTGGCATTGCTATTAAAATTAGCTCCAACTTCCCTAATCTTCCTTTTTCCAAGAGAGCCTTCTAGTCGATAAATATTTTTTTTTAACTTTTGGAAAATAAAAAGGGCCATAAAGCTGGAGAAGTTTGAGAAAATACAAAAATTAAAAACATGTATTTTTAAAAATTCAAAACTTTAGAAGTGGTACAAACTTGTTTATAAAATGATAATCCAAATACAGTAAGGTTTTCACCTTGGGGAAAAAATCTGTATCAAATCATGGACATTTAAAAACAAGGTTAAAGGCAACAGATCAGGACTGTTTCCTTTTCTATATTTGTCACATACTTTAAAGACAGTAGTTATTATTGAATAATAATAATACAAACCCTTATTATAAGCTGCCCAGAGTTGTTCAAAACATTTATGTTTATGGTCTACAGATCAGAAATGTGTGACTGGTTCACTTCTCCTCCCATTTTTCCATACCCCTTCCTTTCTCCTTCTTCTGATTGAAATAATGATAAACGCTATGCCAGCTGAATCAGACAAACTATTATTGCCACACATCAAGAATTATTCAAAACCATGATTTAAATGACAATGGGTTGGTCCTTTGTGGTTTGTACTAATCATGATGTCCTTACCCCAGGTACCTCAAATGGCTGTGAGCATAGATTAAAATAGGGTAATTTGGTCACAAAGAATGATATTGAGCTAATAGGTAACTTTATTCTGGTCACATCCTAATTTCTACAGCATAAAATGGAATTAATAAGGGAAATTGTCCATTATGGTTATGGCTAAAAAGTGAAAAACTTATTCTGCATCAAAACAGGGATGAACAGTTATTAATCTGTGGTATAAAAACTGTTCATCTCTGCCAACCTGGAGGATGAAGCAAGCAGGTCAACCACAATCAATTAACTAATCTCCCAGGACAGCAACTATCTTGTTGGCTAAACTATCGCGAAGCTCATGTCAAGAAGACAGCTGATGAACCCAACTGCTTACGGGAAGAGATAATGTCTCAATAAATAGGCATCAGAATGTCATCAACTTTTTATCTGTCCCCTCTTTCCCCCATTAAAGGGTCATCACTTACTTCAAGTTGGAAAATGAAAATGTGGAATATACCTGAACTAGGTCAAACATTGCTAGACTTGGAAATGTTAATGTTAGTAACTTTAAAAAATCCTTGTGAGATTCTAATAAAAAAATAACTCTATAACTAACTCCAGTGTTCTTGTATCATAGAAATAATAAAAATCTTGAATTTAGAAAATGGGCAGCATTTTCTGAATATTATTCCTTAAATCTCCTTCAAATTTCTGAAAGCCCTGCCCTTATTATTGCCTTTAAACAGTGATGGGATTCATTAAATTTAACAACCGGTTCTAATGACTTCTTCCAACAACCAGTTCACCAAACTGCACAGAAACTTAACAATTGGTTCTCCTGAAATGGTGCAAACTGGCTGAATCCCACCACTGCCTTTAAGTAAACAATTACTACTTCTAGATTTAACATTTTTTTCTATATGTAATTATAATACAATTTCCCTTAAATGGAAAACTTAACTAAAATACTTTACTATATAAATGATGTGGCTATTTAAAATGGAAAAAGATGCTTATTTCTAATCCACTGAGAGTCTAAAACTAAGGTGTTGCCTTGATAAAACAATCAGAGATTTTATTTTTCATTCTCATTTTCCAGAAATAACAAATCTAACCTTGTATAAATGCATATTGATTTAATATAGTATTTTTCAGTACTAATGAAGCTTCCTTCCAAACTAACCACAAACACATATACAAAGAAAAAAACAACACATGACTAGCACAGTACTAGGAGACTGTTTTTATTGTTTTTCCATTATAGAAATATAAATAAAGTATCAGTTTTAGTGGTAATTGAAGAATTGCTTATAAATTTTATTAATTTCTTTTTATATTCCTCATTATAAACAAAACATATATACAAGTTAGGGAACACAACAAGCATCTTAAAATGTTTTAAAGTTTCAATCCTGTATTAAGCAGTTTATCATGGACAGATGTTTGATTAAAAGCAAGACTCTGCAATGAACAAAAACACAATATCAGTAAAAGTTCAGTAATTTGTATGTACACTTACAATCAACAAAACCACAATATTTATATAGATATGATTAAAAATATTCATTGAATTTCTAAATATAATGCAGCAATTTCTACAAACTTCAAAATTTTTTAAAGCCACTTTTATATTACTGCAGATTATTTCTGCTTCTCAAATAAGCAACATTTATTTGAGAAGCAGATAATTTTATAATGTTTCTATATTAAAAAAAGCATAGATCCAGGCACTCTGGAATTCACATAGATTTGTCAAGGGAAAAAAGCATTAGCTGCACAGCAACTCACCGCAATTCGCATTATAGAGGCCCGCACTGATGTCCATTTATCTTGCCTGCGGTCTATGACAAGGATAAATCCAATTCCAGCATCTTGTGAACTGAGTTGGAAAGGGAGTAGAAAGAGGAAACAAAAAAGAACTCATTTACCAGATCTTACAGTAAGAATGACCTATTATACCAGCCCATTAAACTATGTATGTTGATTAATAGATAGAATAAGATAGAATAATTCTCATTAAAACAGAGTCAACAAACATTGCATGCAAGTTCAGCTACTCAAAACATTCATTACCATTCTTCCTGAAGACCAGGGATTTTATTAATCTGGTATGCTTCTTTATACACATATATCTCTTTTTAACTCATTGGCTGTGTTTCCTTGTACAACCCATCCTTTAAAGAACTATCAATAATGTCCACTCCTGAATAAGAACTATTTTTCCTTAAGTGTACTTTGTTGCTAATATGTAATTTTATATGGAGAGTATTGTAACTTTCATCTTATGAAATATAAGTTTCTAGGTTCTATATTCCTGATCTATCTAAGAAATCTGACATCGCTAGCCCCAATTTTTAAAGGATCACGAGAACAAAAATAGAAATTCCCAAAGAGGAAACTGAGCTAAGAAGGAAGACGCATGACAGCCTACAACTGAAAGACACTGAGAAGGAAAGAGCAAGATATTTCCTTCTTATGCTCTGTTCAGCTGCTTGTGCAAAGAAAGAGACATATTCTTGTTTTCTACTTGAAGATACAAACCCATCATGTAATGTGAAAAGTTGATTGCCAGCCATTTGCAATAGAAATGATAGGCAAGCATAAACCAAAATGACTTGAATGTCTAATTATTATGTATGCTGAGCAGACTGTGTATGAAAAAAAGTTGCAATGTCTTTTCTTTATTGGAAAAAGAAACTATGCTACTAAAAAGGAATCTCAGTGATAGGAGAAATACCATTACTTAATTGAGGGATAGGGAATTTTTGCTCTTACCAAATCCTTCATAAACAAGTACAAAATTTCAAAATAATGTAGGAAAATGAAAAATATATTTAAATTTTTTTAAAGTTTCCATTCATATTAAGACTGTGACTCTCATGTCCAATCTGAACTGACTGAAATTGGCATCATGGATAGAAAGTAGCTCAATGGAACACACTTTAAAAGAAACATTACTAGATATAGGAATTGTGTCATTTAAAGATCGATATAGCTCTACATGCAACTTTCTGAACAACTAGATAGTTTAGCCTCCAGATAAAACTAAGAGTATTGCTAAAAAATATTACCTAAGTACTTCAGTACCACTCATGGCAATACGATGGCACTTTCACCAATTGCATTTCAATTATTGAACACTTTTCCCAGGCATTTGTTCTGGGAAAACCAGATCCCATCTCCTGAGTTCTGAGTATGTACATTATTTATCAAAATCTTTAGAAACTGCTTAAATCTGCTTTTTTTCTTGTTACTTTAAGTTATTAATTTAAAGGTCCAATGAATACAAAGTACTTCTTGTGAGCAAATATCTCCATGAAATTACTAAGAATAGGCATATCAGACTCAAAATATTAAAACACGCAACATCTTTGCTCTCACCTTGGTAGTACAATCTCCTAACTTGTTTCTCTTTGGAACTTATTGAGCTGATTCCCAGGTCTAATGGCATATTGAAAGTAATTTAGAGATGCAGAAGGAAATAAGGAATCACTCATACATTACATTCATTAGTTTGAGAAAAGAACCAGTTGCAATGTTTCTAGTATGAAGGATTGGATTCAAATAATGTTTAAATTAGCTGTTTTTGAAAAAGAAATTTTATTTACTAATCAAAAATGACAAAATTTATTTTCTTCAGGGGTAGATTTCATGAAATTTTATGATATCTTTGTTTAGATTTAGAGATGTTTATGTAGTGTTTAATATTTGAAAGTGCAATATGTGTAGAATGTTTGTAATCCCTTTTGGTCAGGGTGTTGTTGTTTTTTTTAGTTTAGCTTGTTTCTGTTGTCTTTTGTTGATTTTGAAAAATTTATTTGTTTCTTCTTCTTTATTGTTCTGGTTAAAAAATTAAAGAAAACAAACTCCTACTTCTAGTTTCTTTCGAATAATAATATGCTTGTTGTGTTTAGCCGGCAGCAGGTGCGGATGGCTGAGGAGAGCGAGGACTCAGATGAAGGGCCAGGACCATTAGGGAGTTTGTGGGGGCTGGCAGCAGCAATGAGGAGGTTCCCGAGGAGCCTGTGCCAAGTGCGCCTGCGCTCAGGGCTACTCATAGGAAAGAGCAGCTGCAGCAGCACGGGTGACTCGGGAGTAAGGCTGCAAGGTAATGGCCCCTCCTTCAAGAAGATAAAGCCAGCTGTGAATTGGACGTTCTTTGTAGGAAACAAAAACGTTTTGAAACTCCAGTCTCATGGACATCACAGTATCTTAAGTTGGTATTTGTAGACTCTTGTGTTGTGAAATATTTCTTATCTGTTATTCTTGGCAGCCTCGCACAGTTTTGGCTGTTAAAGTTAACAAAGTTAATTAGTTTGCAACAGCCTTTTAACCAGGGATTCGTAAGAATCATTAAAAGGTTTTTGTTCCCTTTGGTTCGTGTTTGTTTTATTGGAAAAGGGTTTGGATCAGAACAATGCTCTATTTTATATTGACAATGTTCTATAATTGTCTATCCTCCATTAAACTTTCCTCTGCCCTATATTTCCTAGCCAAAAATGTTACAAGACTCTGCATTCTATGAATCAAAAATTTGGGGGGACTTTTCAGTAGATTGTATAGATTGTCAACTGTAGCTGTGAACCTTACCTGGGAATATTAGTGAGGTATGTCAAAACACTTTGAAACTCCTTTTCTGGAATTTCACTAAATGTAGAGAATTCAGGAAAAGTGATGACAGGACAGCCATCTCTTCCTCGTCCTCCTAGAAAGAAAAGAATTTCATTCCCAAAATAAATCTTACCATGTTATTTAAAAAGACTAATATGAAACCAGGTGAATTGACTGTTACTGATTGTAGTGACAACCTCATCCAATGGGATCAAAATAAAAACCAGTGTTGTAAATACAAAATGGAGACAAAGACACAAGTTATATAAATGATTTTTTGCAAAATTAGAGTAGTTTTGCCTCACTGCCCAAAAACCTCACTTCAAAAGAGAAATGATGGATTCAATTTGAGTAAGATAGTAAATACTAAAATATACTGTCAAAGCACAATTCAGATCAGGCTGTATCAATCTGTCTTGAAACAGAGTGGAATATTGTATTATAAAGTAGGAGGACAATATGTGTCTCTCCAATATCAGTGTTTGCATATCTCTGGATTGCTACATTTTTTACTCCTGTATGGGATAGTAGAGAAATAAAAGATATAAAAAGTATTTTATCAATAAAGGAGAATATTTGTAGTGGTCACTGAGCTTGCTTGTTTTCTTGCAGATGTTTCATTACCCTAGCACTTTATCTTTAAAATATAAAAGGAATGAAAATCAAACAGAAATATTAGAGATGAAAAGAATATAAAAGGAATGAAAACTAAAAAGGAAGAATTTAAGCTGCAAGCATTTGCAGATGATCTGGTTTTCATCTTAGAAGACCCTTTAGAAACAGCATCAAAATTGATAGAAAAGATAGACATATAAAATTTATCATTTTAAATTCTTTTTATTACTGAGATCATTTTTAACTTGTTTTAGCAATGCAACAAACTTTAGTTAGCAGGGGCTCTGTGCTTCTCAGAGTAATGTGAGCTTGCAGCTGCTTCTTCCTTTTAACTGCTAGTGGGGGTGTAACTTGATTGGGTGGGGGCTTGGCTGTGTTCTGATTGGGTGGGGGTGTGTTCTCATTGGACACACCCCCACCCAATCAGAACACAGCCAAGCCCCCACCCAATCAAGTCACACCCCCAGTAGCAGTTAAAAGGAAGAAGCAGCTGCAAGCTCACATTACTCTGAGAAGCACAGAGCCGAAGACACAAGCCTGAAGATGATGAATGAGACTTCATCGAAACGTTGCCTAGATACCAATTTTACGTGGGAGAAAACCCGAATAACCAAAGATCCACATACAAATACCCGCGAGAACCTCAGAAAACATATATATATGGCTTCGTGCTTGTGCGATCAAAGCGTGATTGGAGCTGCCGTCTCTCTATAAATTCTGGTGGGGAGGTTGGCTGTGTTGTCATTTCTTGATTAGTTGATGTTTGCAGATTGGCTGGCTTTTTTGTAAGAACATGTGTGGCTATGTGTCTATCAGCCGCCTGTGTTGTAACGACCTGGGTAATGGGCTGTGTGATGACCTTCTGAGTTCCATTGTTTTGACATCCTGGGTCTTGTGCTGTAATCTCCTGGGTTGTAATGACCTGGGTCATGGGCTGTGTGATGACCTTCTGAGTTCTATTGTTGTGACATCCTGGGTCTTGTGCTGTAATCTCCTGGGTTGTTGGCTGTGTTGTAAAGTTATATTTTCCTCCCCTAGCTTTTCTGGATGCTTTTATCCTACTTCTATACTTTTGATTTTTCCTGAAGGGGATCACAGAAAAGGAAGATTAAAAGCAGAAGGATATTTTATGAAAGGGCTCTGAAGAACTGCTTAAGAAAGACTTGGAGCTCAAAGTTTAATCTTATGGCAAAATACTCAGCTGTTAGATACTGTTGAAATCAAAGAGAGAGAAATCAATAGAAAGAAAAGAACCACCAAGTGCACTAGAGGAGAACATAACAAAGGAAGTACCAACTGAAAACTAAAAAAGAACTTTAAAAGGGAAGGGAAGAGAGAGA